TTCCATTATTTTCTCACGAATCTAATTTTTCAGCCCTTAACACAGCAAACACAAAAGTAAAACAATTGCACCGTAAATTCAGCAGAAGTTTAACAAACACAAATTGTCTTGCTTGCTGCAAATATTGTCGTAATTAAAGGAAGCTTTAAACTGTCATAAGATTTTGCCTGACAATTTATTGATCCTGGGCAAATACAAGCTAACAAGAGCAGTCGCAACCACAACTCAGCAATTTCCAAGCTTTTTGATTGCTTCTATTCTGGCTTTCTCAATTACGCGATTCCATCGCTAAGCCTGCAACGAACGTTTGAACGAATCTCTGGAATAAAATTTTTTTTTCCAGCACAACGAAAGCATTTTCTTTTACAAGAGCACGGGACAAGCTCGCTTGACAACCGGAATTTTTAATTACACTCCGGCTGCCGGTAATCTCCACGAATTTCCTCTTCTGGCTTGTAATTGAGCTGCTTTTTTTCTGAAGCTAACTTCACTTTTCTTTATTACTCTATTCGAAAATATTGCTCAATTCTGGGAAGCTTGCTTTGTGATTTTTTAATTACGAACGTGGACGATTTTTTTTCGGGCATTGTTTTTTACAAATGTTCCGTAATGTTTTCGGTAACCCCAATTTAAAATACGAAAATTTGGCAAGAATGTAATTGGAAATGAGTTTAATTTAAGTATTTTTAAATATGTTAATAAAATTAAATTTGGAAAAAATGTAATTGGAAATGAATTTAATTCATGTATTTTTAAATATGTTAATAAAATTAAATTTGGAAACAATGTAATTGGAAATGAATTTAATTTATGTATTTTTAAATATGTTAATAAAATTAAATTTAGAAAAAATGTAATTGGAAATGAATTTAATTTATGTATTTTCAAATATGTTAATAAAATTAAATTGGGCAAAAATATAATTGGAAATGAGTTTAATTTATGTATTCTTAAATATGCTAATAAAATTAAATTGTAGTGAAACAAAAACTAAATTCTAGTAAAATTATGGTATTTTGAATATGATAAAATACAATGAATGATTATAATGAAAATATTAAGAACATTTATTAAATTATTAAACAAATATTAAATTATTAAATATTGAACAAATTATTGTATGTAAATGTTCATTTAGTATGTGTGATTGAGACTAATCAATTTTTTTATTACTTTATGTAAACGAACATTTATTTGTGTAAAGCCAATTCGATACTGCTTGAAAATAGAACTAGAAATACTGAAAGATAATTATTTGATGATCTGCAAGTTTAATGAAAGAAAAATATATTTATGTGTATCAATAATGTATTCTTGATTATTTAATCAAATTGACGAGTATTAAACTTCCTCGATTATTATTAATCAAATATTAATTAAAGACAAAAGCGACGAAATCACGAATGAAATTAATTTGAACCGATTTCTTTTTGTAAATGAAACCGATACCATTAAATTAAGGGATCTGGCAGAAATTGCTGAATAAAGCGAATTAATGAGGGATTAAATGGGAAGGAATTAAAGAATGAATACTTTTCATACGAACTAATTTTAATTACTTCTACGTAATTAATGTGATAATTTCGTAAAAGTACGAAGCTCGGAAGAAGTGTGCCGAGTTTGTTAAATTCGGAAGTACATCCAAGTGCTTCGAAAGTAGGAAAGTTGTAAACTTCAGGGTGAAAAAGTTCGATGTCGCGGAGTTCAAAGCTGTGAAACTTGACAGGAACGATTTCATTCCTGTAAATAATTCTTTCCGATATCTTTCCTCCGATACTTTCTCTTTCGTGACGTCAATATTATACATATTCATCGTTTCTACGTCACTATATCAATACGCCATTTTGTTGTATAACTCTGCCGCGATATTCAAAAATTTGATCATTTTTCTACGATACAATGAATCTCGTTTTTCGTTAATTGAAATTTTATTGCGGACTTTCTAGTGTGCAGCTATTTAAAGTTTCATTTGGATAATACATTTTATTTTAAGGACAAATTTGTTATTTTAAAAATAGAATTAAAATCTTTTGAAATGGAACGAAATTCGTGTTGCAATTATTTAAAGTAAAGAATTTGGGAATATAGGAATTTAGAAAAGACCCTTACCCTTTCATATTTAAACAAAAAATATATAGAGATATCAAATAAAACTGCTGTGGTTTGTAAAAATTTTAATGAGCTTCGTAACTCCATAAAACGCTCGTGAGATTTTAAATAACACCATAATTTGGATCTGCTGGGATCTGATGCAAAATTAAGCGAGGGAAATATTCCCTAGTGCGTGTTGCAAGGGAAAAAGCGAGTCGTTCGCGTGCAGCGGCTAATGACGTTAAACATGTCGCGAACGAGTCCTTTGGGAAACATTTTCCAAACTAAGTAACTACTATTTAGGATAGTCGCTTTCAACGTCCGATATATTTCTGTTTATTTCTGTATTTAGAGGTATGTGACCTCTCTATATTATAATTCCGTTGAACTTGTATCCTCGTGCTATATTGCAATATGCAAAGTGCCATCATTTCATATAATATTTGTGAGACATGTGTACTGACATACACTACCGTCCATAAGTATCCGGACACAAGCGAAATATGCATTCGCGTTGCATGAAAGTTATTCAAGTATCTGCAACAGTAACTAAAATCGATTTTTTTTCTGCGAAGGTCAGAATACTGGAACGTTTTTCGATTGATAATTCTCGTTTGGAACTCGTATCT